ATACTTCAGGAGTTCATGGAATAAGCTGATCAGCACCGGTAGAAGTGCGCTGTTGGCAGAAATTCCAGGAAGTCACAGGGCTTAGAGCGACTTTCTGCCAGGAACGGCTCGAAGGCGACAGAACGACGACTGTCACCAGGTGCTCTGTTCTTGGGCAGGTCAGTCGTCTCTTCGGTTTTAAAGCGCACACAAACAAGACGCAGCGCTGGCAACGGCAGTCGAAAGCTACGACTCCCTCATGCAGAGACTTGATTTTTAACGATTATTATTAGACTGCGGCCAGCGGCTTCGCGGCCGGTATGTCGTGTATGAGCAGCGGCTGAATGAACAGTCCTTGCTCTCCAGGTGGCAGTTGTCCGCAGAGCCCTGCGTTCGAAGTTTTCCAACGCCACGGTCATGAAATCCGCTTGTGAAACCTGTGCGAGGCGTCACGTCCTTAAACCATTCCCCAAACGCCTGCTTGTACCTAAAACAACTACCTTCGACGCTCGTCGATTCTAACGCCAGCATGGACTTGTGTATGCATTTGTCCTGTGCCAAACTGCGACTATTGTTACGTTTAAAATAATTTTCCTTTAGTCAAAGAATTCCTCGAGAAGGCAAAAGAAGATTTCAGGCTGAAATGGGAATGTCCAGTGCCGGTGAGCGACCTTACACTTTGTATTTGTTACAGTTTTGTTGTTTGTACTGTGAATCGTCGTTTCGTCTTGAACCTACCGCATCGCTGTCACCAGTGGGAACCTCGAGTTCTAAAAGGTTTTAGCCTCAAACAGCTGCTTCTGATTCCAAAATTTCTCTTTTATCCTCATTATGATTATCGATCATATTCATTTTTAGCTGGGTTTCGCGTTTGTGAATTTCTGACTCTTGCGTAGCAACAACAAAGACTAAGATAAGGGTAATGCGAAATATTCCAATGACTGGGTGTTTCATCGACCTTTGCTATTACGTTACGTGGAAATGCTTCTGTGTCTCTTAAGCCAAACAAGGAGAAGATTAGACGTTTCGGATGTATCCTATGCCAAACATTTGTTCTTGATATTCAATGCGTAGATGATATTGCCCTAGTGAGTGGTACGGAGAGCGGGCTCTGAAGCCTGACAGCTTCCACAAGTGATACAGCTACAAATGCTGGCCTCTTAATGATTGCTCGGAAGCCAAACGTTATGAGGATCCCCCCCGCCGGACACAATTAACCTACAAATGTAATTGTAAGGCAAAACGATTGAGGATGTTCACCAAGTTCAGTATTTCAGATCCGTCTCCTCCTACGACAGATGATAATGCATCCACCATCCACGGTTATTAAATGGGAGAACCCTGGCCTCAAGTGCTTTTGAAAACCTGTTCAATACTTGGGCTAACAAGGAAATAATTATTTTCCCACCTACCTGTACTCGCTGTCGAGCCACTGTTGCTGTACGGCATAAAGAGCAACGACAGCAGTTCAACCTTATGCAGCAGTGTTTGCTTCGACGCGTCATCATCATCAGACATTTTCGATCCACTGAATGAAGGCCTCGCCATAAATTGCTGTTTTCTGCCATTTTATATATCTTCGTCCATCAAACTTCTTCAGTTCATCTACCCATAAATTGTCCTGTGAGTCGCTTACTCTCCTTGAAACCCAGTCTAACCCAGCGATGATCCAGACGGATAATGAGAGTTAAACGACGGGAGTACATAAAAAATGACAGCATACCCTTCTGGCAAAGGACGAGTTTTGTAGACCTGAAACGAGACTGTAGCGTTAGACAGTCTGGGTGAGCAAAAACCGTTTATCCTTCTTATGAGCTTCTCGTCTTCGAGCCAAACCACAGTAAACTAGGTTTGCATGCCAGCATGCAGTATAGAAAATTAAGGTAGAGACAGATTTTTTTCTCGGAAAGCAACATTTCCACTTGCGACACAGTAACCGGTGCCTTGTAAGGTGTGCAAGAGCTGTGAATACACCGGTGATTACAAACCAGAGTCGTTCTACTCATGAAAACGGCTCAAAGTGATGGTGTCAACAGCAAAACAAGCAACTATGCAGTGAAGTGGCTCTTACTTCCTAGTAAACTATTAAGAATTTGTTTATTAATGGACTTAAATATTCTGCAATTCTCTCTGGGACGGTGCATTTTTAGTGGTTCTCAAAATTTCTGTTATAATGAGATAATAAAAGCCTTTTTAGAAAAGCAAAAGTAATCATCATAATGTACGATACGTGGCAAAGTGAAATCAATAATTTACTAGGTTCAATTCAATTCTAAACTGGAAAGATGCCATTTTTAGTAATTAAACCCATCTGACTTATGTCTGTAAATACACTTCGCTGCGCAGAGTGACAAATTGGTGCTGGAACATCGTTCAAAAACTCGCAGATGCACAGCACGCACTCAAATGCTACGAAACTATGTCTGGCTTAAATGTCCACCTAGACACAAAGGGGCGATACGATGTCCTGAGTTAATTCAGAATTATGGATTGACTACATACAATCATCATCCTCTTTCCAGAGGGTAGTAAGGATATCGACTACGTTTCTAGCATATAACATTATTCTTTACCTGCTGAGACTGTAGCATATATATTTTTATTATATTTTGGATTATGAATCTTTTTCTTTAAGAACTTACCTTACTGTATATGAAAAAATTTTGTCGTTTGTCTGTCATTGTCAATGTTTTTTTAAATTCATTGGTTCATCTTTGAATGCGGTTTTCACAAACGCATTCGCCACGACAATCAAATACAGAAGAAGAGGACCACCTTGAAAACGCCACGATATGCAAATCTGCTACTGACTTGTATCTTGCAATCGCTGGAATGATAGAAATTATGCAGCATTAATATGCGTAGCGAACGGCGCATGGACTCAAAAATATGAGCACCTTGAAGAGAATAAACGTCAGGGATATTCTAGTTCCACCTCAAGACCTCTGACATGAACCACAAGATGCATGAGAGAATGTACGAATGTCATTGTTTGTACGTGGAGCAACTTCCTCAGTTAAAGGGCTGTTTTTGTTCAACTGGACTGGGTAGTGAGGTAAACTTCCGCATTAAAGATCTCAGCTGTATTGCGAAATAGAAACATTCCAGAAAGTATAGCCGTTAATAAGCGAAGCCAGTTGTATTCAGCAATAAGTAAGACAACAAGTGCTATGAATTTTGGAAATAATCGAAATGATGCACTGAGTCACCGTTGCTCTGCGGCCCTGAGTTTTTTCTCAATTATTATTTTTATGTCAGCGTAGCAAACCAGAACTGTACTAAGAACGTGATTTGTCGACATCTGAACCGTTTCCGCTAATGAAAATTGAAAAACTCATAATTAAAAGCCGGAATTGTGTGCTAGCGCTATGCTATCAATGGCGAAAAGTTTCGACGAAGGCTTCAACCTCTGAATAAATTCAATCGAAAGCCTGTGATGCACCAATGACGTGGTGGCAATCGCAAGACTTGCAATCAGTTTACACGAACAGCCAAAGAAAGTTCACGCCCGGAGCTATTCGTCTAGTCTCAAGTTCACCCACGAACTGGAATCTGGTACAAATTGCACTCTCGATCTAATTACCGTGGATGATGCTGAGTTGAAGCAGGTCATCTCCTTCTTGTATCTGCATCTCTTCTTTGGCGGAATGGTAACTTCAAAACGAGAATTCATTAAGGTCTGCTAAAGTCAGGGATTTGTTTGAAGCTGATCATAATCATAATGATAATAATGCGAATTCAATGCATCTTTTTAATAAAAATTACAACAAAGAATAAAAACAATAACAACAGTTTGAAGAAAATGGTCCTGCGAACCTCGATGCCAGGATTCACAATGAGAAGAACAAAAAACTTCATTTAATGAAATCAAAGAATCGTCAAGTTCAATGTCATTCATGACACTAAGATTGCTTAAAATGGCAAGATGTAATCTGAAATGGTAATAAGGGAACGATTATCCTTTGAACAAAAAATGAAGCTGATTTGCATAGAATGTGTTTTCAGCAAATATCCAAAGTGATATGCGTTAATTTCTATTCATTGTTAAAAGCCATTTTCCGCAGGTTGCCCTGTAATGTTTAGGTCATGTTTTTTCTATATAATGCCTCTGGATGGTGGCTGATTTAGTTTCTGCTCGAAGGTGCTTTTGTTTAGCCCAAACTCAGATATGTTTTTTGCATCCCATGCACTGCAAATACGGGAATGTCACTGAATCATGGCCGGCTGAACTAGTTTCACTTGGCGTCGATAGAAAGAAAGGGGGTGGTGCGCTTAAGCCGAGTAAGTTTGGTATTATGAACAGAAATGATGCAATTACGGGTGGAATTGTAAAGGTGTCATTTGGTGAAGTTTCCTCACAACATGCGTGGTGGAGGCATTATTTTGTCTGAATATATTCTAAGTTCTGTTTATAATGATTAATTATGTGAATATAGACCCTTGCATATTAATCGTCCATGCATAGAAGCCGTCACTTTCGATACCCGTCTAACTTTTTGGGTAGCTGAGGCAGAAATCTCAGACAGTGTTCTCGATTCAGTGCCACGGAGAGAGCTTTAACAGGACAACCCATGTCTGGAGCAAAGGCAGTTGAGGCACTTGCTCT